TGTGCATTTAGCTAGCAGTATATAATATATAAAAAAAATCCCAGTGAGCCAACAGATCAGACATTTTAAATTATAAATACGTAATAAATTAAAATGTCTGATCTGTTGGCTCACTGGGATTTTTTTTTTAAAACACTGAGCTGGGGATCCACTGATCTAATAACTGGATCAGATATCATTCCAGGCTTAACTCAAAAATTTGGAACGTACATCTGTGCCTGCTGTCTACAGAAGCATCTATTAAACTCAGCTGTATGTTTTGTTCTGTGTTTACTTCTAGCGTGAAAATGTGAAGTACTTCAAAAAACGTAATCTACCGTGTTGATGGACTCAAAGAAAATCCAAAGGGTTTAAGGATTACTTATTATTGATTATCTGACACATTTTGGATCCTGAACTTCACAGATGTCATCATTAGTTAAAAACAACTTAAAAGTCCAAATTAAAGGTACTGATGGAGAACCTCATATATCACCATAAGATGACAATGAATTAACAGAGTAATGATTAAAGGTTTAGCACTCAGAATTTTTAAAGCAGCCATCTTTATTTTCTTGTTTTAATTTGAGACTAAATGACCGGCGAGAATCCTACAGCTGCATAAGATTTAAAAGGCTGGTGGGTTTTAAACCGCGGTTGCATCTCTCACAGAATCTAAACTGAACTTCCTGTTTTGGAACATAAATTATTTTTCAGGATGTCACATTTTCCTCTTTCTGCGACTCGCCTCATAGGACCATCTGCTTCATTGCCCCCTGCTCTTCCTCCCGGCCCTGAGCATTCAGACAGTTGCATTCTTCATGCTGCATACTTTCTGCGATCTTATGATAACAAGATAAACCAAACAGTTTGCCCAGAGCAGCACCACCCACTCTTCTTTCTCACTTCCAGCCGAATCTCTCTCTCCCTCACACTGCACTCAAAACACCACACAGTCTTGTGAACCGTCTCTACAGGGACATTTTATCACATTTCGTAAAAATAGTAAGGGGCCAACTGTGCTGTGTGTCCAGAGCATGGGTACAGCCCTGCTAGATGATGTCCCTACCTTTTCCTCACTGTACCACGCAGGCTGTGCAGCACTGTTCCTGCTTCTCTGGCAGCGAGGAGTAATTCATCTGCCGGACAATCTCTGCAAACAGCTCATCCACCATCGTCTTGCTCTTGGCAGAGGTTTCGATAAAAGGGCAGCCCCACTCTTGAGCCAAAGCCCGTCCATCTGATCCGGCCACCTCACGCTCAGACTCCAGGTCGACTTTGTTACCAACCAGAATCAGCGGCACCTTCTCAAAGCGCTTCACTCGCACTATTTGGTCTCGCATTGGTCTGATGTCCTTAAAAATTGAGAAAAATAAGAAGTGTGAGATATTGAAATTTAAACAAAACAAAAAATTAATCATCAAGCAGATGCGAACTTTGGTTATTTCTCAATAGGCACAATTTCTTCATGATGCAAACATTTAATTACGATTTTTCTGGCTCAAAACTGGTCACATTGTTGAGGTAAAGCTTTGTTTTACCCAGCAGACATTCGTGAATTTTCATGAAAGTTTTGGAAATATGCAAATATATATTTTACGGTTGCTAAACATTTCCTTTTGGGAAGGCCAAAACTTCTTTTCACATCTAGTTAAAGCACTTTTATTTATTGGTACTTCAAAAGTAATTATCCATTAAATACCGAGTGCTAATATTGAAGGCTCTAAAATATCAGGACGTGGGATGACTATTTTCTTTAGTAGACCTGGTTCATAGTTATCTAAGCTTTCTTATGCACTGTTTGTTTTCTGTGTGGTGCCATCCTTCAACAAATGAGTGCTATATGGAGATATTGGGGGTCCAAATGAGCCCTAGCCTTCACATTTTAATCTCGATAATGTGGCTTGTAGCATTCCCTGCATGAGAAGTATGAATCACAGCCTGATTAACCACATACGGTTGCAGATTTCAGGTGTGTGTGGTGCATCTGGGGTACCTGGAAAGACTGCTGGTTGACCAGGCTGTAGACCAGGATGAAGCCCTGTCCGTTCTTGATGTACAGGTCTCTCATGGACGCGAACTGCTCCGTCCCCGCCGTGTCCAGGATCTCCAGCACGGAGGGCGACGAGTCCACCTCGATCTCCTTCCGGTAGAAGTCCTCGATGGTCGGGTCATATTTCTCGATAAAAGTGCCGGTGACAAACTGCACGGTGAGCGCGGATTTCCCGACGCCGCCGCTGCCCAGCACGACAACTTTGTATTCTTTCATTGGGGCGGTCAAGGCGGGCTAACTCAGCAGCTAACGACTGCTATACTCGCTCCACAAACATTTATCAGGCCTTTACGAGAGCTAACGAGAGAAGCCACAAAAGTTAGACGATATACAATAACCCCCCTCATTCACATAAACAGTTCAACCGCTCATACTTGGGTTTTTCTACGTTTTCCAGCTAGTGAGACAGTAAAAGTTGATGTCCGGCAACTCCGGCGTTAGCTAGCGTTAAAGCTAGCTCGCGCCTTGCTGAATTCCCGCTGTGCCATCCTCGCGCTTTCAGTCGTTAGATCGATGTGATTCACCACAAGCGCCGGCGTTGGTCAGTGAACTTGTTGTCTACTGACGGCAGGTCACGGTGGTACACATTAGACCCTCACCCCAAACCGCATGACAGTCCCCACAGCAGCCCGCCGGTATCGCCGCAGCGTTGACTGCGTCCTTCCCTTAGTCCGGGCCTGGTTCTGGTTCCGGCCCAGCCCGGCGCCCTAGCAACCGGGCCCGTTATCGACGCAGACTCAGTGTTATAATCCCACCGTCCATTGGCTACAGTTTATTACTGATCCGGTATATATGTGACTGTGTACAGGGTGGGTTCTGCTTCAGAAAGAAAGGCTTTTTTTTTTTCAACCATCTGATTTCCTGGAGCTAACAACCTGTTTCCGCTAACGAGAATCAGACTTCCGCTGCGACGGTTTTCATAATAAAAGCACACAAAACGTTACAGAAAATTACGATTTTTCGTTTCTAACATCCATCCAGGTTTTCCACTTAGCCAATTCTGGGTCGCGGGAACTTGATCATGTTCTTTCCTTGATATTTATTTATTTATTTAAATACAGTACTGTGCAAATGCCTTGAGACACCCCTTATTCCTTTAAATTAGTCTTTTTTTAAATGCGCCCTCTCCAGGCTTTTTGAAGAAAATCTTTTTTCCTTTTCACTCATTTTCAGTCCAGTCCTTGTACCTGACCATTTTCAGATGACAATTTTAAAAAAATGTTTTACACTGACGTTTGAGTCATTCAAACAAGTGATGAGCTAGTTTTATGTCCACACACAATAGACAGTTTGTTACATTTCAGTTTTATTACAGTTTAGTTGAATACACAATAATAATAATAATGATAATTGCTAACCTACATATTTAGCGATTTATCATGCAGACCTATCTTATTCACACAAGTTATCTAAATGAGCAGATTGTTGTCACATGAAGTGGTTTCATTTATTTTCCCGCAGTTACACACTATCCTCCAGGGGATTAGCTTCACTGATGCATAAGTGTGGGTTAGTTCACAATGTGAAAAACACCAAGACTGGACGTTGTGAGCAAAGACTGGTTTAATGTGCAATCACAATGTTGCCGTTATATGAAGGAAGAATTTGTTTAAAGAAACAGCCACAAAATGAATCAGCTACAGGTCCATCTTGACCATTTCTCCGTGTTACTGAGGATGTCACACTCAGAGGTTGCAGTCTTACATCAGCAGCATAAGGAAGCTGGTCAACCTCACTTCCTCTGAGAGCAGTTTCGATTCCTGTTTTTATATTTATATTTGGGTGAAGTTCTCTGAATAGCTTTACTATAGTGCTTTTAACTGCAATAGATTAAGTTAGTGGTCTGCTAATTCAGATTAATTCTGCATACTGAAGACAGTGACTCTCTACAGTGCAGTTAATTTCAAAACTGCATCATTCATCACACTTTGCACTCTGTTATCTAAGAAACTTTAATTTCATCTGGTTTTTGCCATACTGTCTTTAGTAAGCCATTTTGCATTTTTTATTGTAATGCATAGTCATATTACCTCATTATATTTGAGTTAATTTATTTTTTAGATAATTAAGATAATTGTTTGATCCTGTTTTATTTAATTTTATTGAGCTATAGACTATTTTATTCATTTAAACTATATGTTGTTGGGCAGATCATTAGGTATGCCTTTAAACTCCTCAATCAACACAAATATTTAATCAGCCAATAACATGGCAGCAACTCAGTGTATTGACATGTTGAGTTCAAATTGAGCATCAAAATAGGGAAGAATTGTGATTTAAGGAACTTTGAAAATGGCATGAATGGGATGGTCTGAGTATTTCAGAAACTGTGGATCTAGTGGGATTTTCCCACAAAATCACCGGGTTTACAGAGCATGGTTTTCTGAGGGAAAATGCCTTGTTGATACCTGAGGTCAGAGGAGAATGGTGAGACTATGTCAAGCTGATAAGGGTCAACAGTAATTCGTTACAACCAAGGAGGAAGAGCATCTGTGAACCCAGATGAGCTGCAGCAGCAGAAGTCCACATCAGGTGCCAGTATTGTCAGCTAAGAACAGGAAACTGAGGCCACGATTTGAGGCTACAACATTTCTGAGGAATGTTTCCAGTTCCCAGTACTGGCAAGGTGTACCTAACAAATTGTCCAGTGTGTCTATACCCTATGCTTGAATAAATTTAACCCCATAATATTTTCATCTTGATCCCAATGACCTGATTTCTCTTTTGTGAAAGGTTAAAAGGTCTTTCCTGGGTGCCAAAACACTTTATATACAGATAAGCCCCTGAGATGCATGTGTGTTATTGTAGTCTTAGTTATTAACAGTTGTTGCATAAAGGGGTCCTTTAAGGCTATATGCACATTTAGGGGCATTACCAGATGTTCAGGGTGTACGTTGTGGTTTGTATACTTCTTTTGCTGTATGTGTATGTCTGCAATGAAAGAGACAAAAAAACACACACAAGAGGATCACAATGAAGTGTTTTATTTAAGGTCAAACAGAAATTGCAGAACTCATCATAGGCACAGTAACTTACTCATAATTAGCTATACACTGCAAAATATATTGGCATGTAGCACAGCAGCACATACAAGCACCACAAGCAGAAAACAGAGTGAAACAAAGAAACAGCAGTCACGTTCAAGTCTGCCCAAGAGTGTCAGAGTTTTTTATGGCTTAGTCCTGAACAGTCTTTGGCCCTCATCATCTTCCACGGGGGTGTCGTTCAGTCGGCGATTGTACCCAATTTAAAAAATAAGTTGTGGACTCAACAGAGGATGTAATTAAATTGATATGATTGGCACACGCTCAGTTCACGTGGCGGTTTTAGTCATTGAGATGTAGAACCTAAAAGTCCAGTTTGCACATTAAAGGCACAATCACAACTAAAATGAATCGTAACAATACAGTGATTTAAAACCCACAGCATGTACTTAAACTGGGACAGCAATGATGAGGGGAGCTGGTGAGTCAGTAGAGACGCTTTGGTGAGTTGTGGGTACACGTCGTTCAGAGACCCGTCCCTGCTCACAAACTCTTTGAAGTCAATATTCAACAGTCAGAGGGCTGTGAACCGATTCTCCAGGATGACTCAGTCAGTTCAACACTAGGAGAAGTGCCATGGCAACAAAATCGCTGGCTTTGGGGGCAAATAAAGAGGATCACATGTTCAAATCAGCAGAACCAGAGTCATGTGAGGATGCTGCTGCTGCTGGGAGAGGAAAATATTGGAAAAGCCGTTTGTTTGCAATTTAGTCTAAAATCCTGAGGAGAATTCAGATTTATTGTTGTTTTGGTTAATGACAAGAAACAGGAGAGTTTAAAAAAATTACAAAATGACAGAGATGAAGGAGAATTTAAATCTCTGTTCCTCTGTGGTCAGATTTAATATCGGCTCCTATTTTGTTTTTTTCCAGCCTGCAGATGGAGCTACTCTGTGCTTTATTTCGGTGCTTTACTGGAGAGAGGAATGTGTCTGCATGTCATCTGCTCAGATTAGGTTCTTACATATGATCCACCTCTCCTGTTTGATGTCAGGGTCGCATATTATTAAACCACAGAGGATCAATCAACTGAAGTGAACTGAAAAAAAAATAGCTTTATAAAGCAAATCATTTGTAGTTTACAGCTAGGCAGTGCCATGCTTAGCAAAGAACAGGGCTCTAGCAACAAACAAAAGGGCAGATGTAAGAAAACAATAGACATATCGTTAACAATATATTGATTAGATTTTTTTTAATTGACTCTTTTATCTGTATTTATTCAAAATAAATTTTGAGTATTCTGACATAGTTATGTACATAAGTGCAAACAAGGTGAACATCACACATTCGTATACACCTCAGTGAGGATCGACATCACCCAGCACAGCTGGGCAGTAAGAGACCTCGAGACCACCTTCTTGGCCAAAACCTGAGCCAGATCTCTCGGTCTGTAGGAGGCAAACGGCAAAAACCGCTCGCCTCCACAGAAAAAAAGATCTTCCAGTTAGTCCAAGGGTCTCTTTACCTCCCTGACAGATGTTTGCTCTAAAAGCCAGAGTTCATTCCTATTTCTCAAAAACACCATGTACAAGAAGAAAAAACCTAAATATAAAATGAACGTCAAATAAACAAAACAAAATAAATGGCTGACCTCCCCTAAGGACCTTTGGATATTACAAGGATTAAAGTTTTTTCAATCACGTTGCAACAAGACAAACTAATAATTAGACATTCCCTTTTCGGATAGGTTAGTGCTGTATGTCATCTCAATTATTGTGGAAAAAAAATCACTATTAGGATAATAAAAAGGTAGCCATGTTGTCATTTTGTTGCCATAGCAACAGCAACTATTACCATTAACAATGACTCCATCATTGTGTACAAATGATTTTCATATCATAATGTTTTTCATATTGGTCTACACAAACTATTAACTACATATAAATGATTTTTTTGTTGTCATTATTGTTATTATTATTTTCATGCCGCGTTTTTTTTTTTTTTTTCAGAAAAAAAAATCTTACATTTATTACATTTTCATACACAGCTGTGACATATGATCGAGGATTAAGGCCCTTTGTTTGTATTCTCAGGACTGAGTTAACTGTGTCCACATGCTGAAGGATCTGATCACAGGACAGCGAAGATCAGAGCTCTGCACACGTTGAACAGTTATGATTCAGGACCGTGTGGGGAAAAAAAATTACAACCAGGCCCAAAGGTAATCAAGTACAAGAGAATGAATGAGGGAACAAAATTAAGAGGTAAAAACATTGTTTGTATTTTTTTTTTCTCATGGTGCTCCACAATCCTCAAATTAATACACTCTTGAGCCTTAATAGATACATTTAAATGTATTTAAAAACCTCAAATGCCCTCGAGAGGCACAGTTTATTAATCAAGTATTCTGTTTTTCCAGCTGGACAGTGAAGGCATACTGATGTTAGGGGTAGGGTCACTTAAGGAGGGGATTGGCTGGACGAAGCTAGTCATTAGAAAAAGGGACCTGTCTGGACATTCTGATCATCAGGTTCATAGAGACAGCTATGAGCCTACATACTGTTTGATCCACCATGCAGATAAAAAGTCAGCTATACTTTAAAAAATACTTTATTCAACTATTTTGGGAGATACACTTATTCACAAGATTTTATATCACTCTTATGTCTGTATAGTAAATATGAAGCTTAAATCAGCTGTATGGGGCACTAGCCTGTTTCCATACAAAGTGGAGCTACACAGATAAATTAACAGGTATTAGGTTATTACAAATAAGGTGTCCTCTAAAAGTATGTAAACTGAAATAGATATTTTAAACCTCAGTTTTAGCATTTTAGGATGAAAGCATTGCATGAGATAAAATACAGACTGGCTTTAGCTTTTATTATGTGCTATTTAATACACAAACAGCACAGAAATAGATAGTTATGCATCTTGATATTTGTAGACCAGTTCAGTAGCGTTTACTTTAGGCTACCTTTTCGCTGTTCAGTCAACATGCTTTCATATGGCTTCTGATGTAGAGGATCTGTGGATTTGTTCTCTGCTCGGTCTGTTTGACCTCAGCACAGCCTCTGATACTGTCGACCATGATACTTTCCTTAGTAGACCTATGGTTTCCATTTGACTAACCTTCTTCTTATTTATCTGCAAGGCTCAGATAAATGCGAGGCTCAATCCTGAGCCAGCTGGCATCATTCAGGGTTTTTCAGAAGTTTCTTATCGTTTCTATGCAGATGACATTTACTTATACGTCTATCATTTTCTATTATATTTTATTGTGATTTTTCACAGTTTTTATTTATTTTACACTATTTTTTGCCAAGCACTTTATAACTTCATTTCTGTGACAAGTGCTTTTATAAATAAACTTTACTTATATACTATATAAGAGCTAAAGCCACCTACTGTTTTGTCTCATTTTTGTGCTTTAATAGCAACTTCAGATGCACAAATTATCCAATAATATCTGTTAACGCACTTATAGAGGGCACTCTATTCTTGTTTAAGTTGGCTTAAGTTATTACAAACATTACACAGTTTGTCCAAAAGCTAACTTTTAGTTATCTAAAAGGTGTAAACACCTTCCATGCAAGACTGCACATTTAATCTTTAAAATGGATATAAAGAGGGCACTCTGTAGTTTTATAGATGTTTTCCTCCTGTAATTATTTCTTCATGGACAGTTTACAATCCATCTGGGTTATATTGCTGGTTGCCTGGCAACCTCACTGTTCACAAGCAGTCACGATGTGTAATGCGGTTGTTTTTGCACAACTGTTTATTAAGGTGTGCTGGCCTTTTCTCTGTGTTAACTAGCAGCTCTTTCCAGCTTAGTATTAGCACAGAAACATAAGAGCAGCTCAGATCTTCTGTCTTTAAAAAAAAGTAAGCAGATATGTGTACTTTTTCTTAAACTGCCACAAATACGCCATTTGGGGCATTTAGGTGGTCAGGAGGGAAAAGCTTTTACACGCCCAAAATGAGGGTTAATCCCAGGATTATACCTGGTGCTGAACTTGCAGCTCTGGCTGGGTGGGTTTTCTGCACAGTTATGTCTCCACAAAGCCTTTCTACACCAAAAGTTAACAGAATCAGGGCTGCAGTACTGGGACAAGGGAAATACATGTGAGAAAAAAGGTAGCATGCTGACTTTCTGCCTAATGAGAATATGCTTTGTTTATAGTGCTTTGGATACTACAGAGGGTAGGGGTAGAAAAACTGACTAGCAATAAATGGTACTGAAATGTACCTGAATTGTGTACATTTGTACTTCAAAGAGTACAGCAGTCTGCTCTACCTTTTCTGACAGTGAAAGATATTTCTAAAAGTAGTCACACCACCCATTAACATTAAATATAAATCTATATAACAATACACATACTTTAATATGTCTTAACACAGTTTCATCATGGTACCTACAGTATGTGACCTCTGAAATAGTCTATATAGAGTGAACCATTACATTTCAGCATGCCTGTCTTTTAGAAGGGCATGTGTAAAGTTTTTGCATTAGATACATTCACGACACATTAACATTATTTAAAATGAATAATGTTCAATGGGAGATGTGTAATATCTGCAGCATTTACATCTAACCAAATATGTGATCCATCGTCTTTTCTGACACACGTATGTATGCACACAACTCTCTGATTTATTTCCTTACATTGACAGTAAGACAGCACAGCTGTCTCAGAGAAGAAACTGATACAAATGTGATTTCATATTATAATAATGTACCAAATAACACATCTGTCTTTGAGCACTGGTCTGGTCTTACAGTGTACTGACAGTTTTGTTTGAGGAGACTTGAAAGAGGCACATTTGAATTTGGATATAAGTGATTTCAGCCCAGTTTCCAAAGCTGTTAAGTTCATTTTTTTGTATACACCTACAAAGCAATTCCTTACACACTTGAAAGTCCCCCCCAATTTTTTTTTCACCATCAGACATCAAGCATGAGAATTGTTCATCCTTTTCTACAACTTGATTCTGGTTATAAGAATATTTAGAGTCTCGTCATTTTTGACAAACAGGACAGCAGTAGAAAGACATGACATTTTAAAGTCAGACAGGACATTTTCAAGTTCGAAGCTTTCTCCCTGCAGAACCATAAAACATAAAAATCTTGTGCCACTTATTTAGTCCAAAAGCCACATTAAACAAACAGCCTTTTGAAATACATCTCTGCATTAGAGAGGGAAACATTTATTTGGAGGATTTATCCAGATATTGCATTAAACGGGCAGTTCCTTGCATATACCGCAGACTTTAGGCACAACAAAAGGAAACCGATCTCGCTTCCATCTTGTGCAATAACTGACATCAGGTGTAAAAGTTTAAGTGGCATTTACAGGCGAGCTGAACACACACAGAATCGGTTTCAAAGAGTGTTCAGGTTTCAAATCACAGAGGAAACAGGATGAACCTTTCCTTTTTTAGTCGTTACACAGTTACCCATCACAAAAGAAACACAATCACTGATCGGAAATCACGATTCAAGAAACTTCACAGCTCAGGTTTATCAGTTTTGATGATTGGAGCTGTCTGGTCTATTACTGGAGAGTACTATACAGAGAGGGGCCCTTACATAGAGAACATAACCTCAGCTGCTTTAAGGCAGTTTATTTAACACATCCTAAAGATATCCCTCATCCCATCTTCTTTATAAGAAGTAATTACATACTAAGTTACTTTCACCCAGTCTACATTTTTCAATAAAACAGGGGGGGCGAATCATTCATTGCATTTAGGAAACTCTAATATACATTTTAAGAGGCATTTGCTGTAACCAGTAGACTTTATCCCAATAGCAGCTACAGGCTAATACACTCTATTTACGTAACTAATTCTTCTTTGAATTATTTTTGGGACACTAAGTCTCCTCTGCAGCTGAGCAGAAAAAATCAAAGGCACAAACAAATGAACAACAACCCCTTACTGACGTATCACCGGGCAAAATGAGACCATGATGACAGACTGAGCGGTACACGTCGTACAACACAAACGTCACATTTGCACTCATCTTGAAACGTAAACGTGACATGATATGAAACACTCTTTCACTTTGACAGCCCGTCATGGTTGGAGACCGGCAGCTGGTCCGTCTGAATTTTCTACAATGAACTTCTCAGAGTTTCTTACTTTGGAACAGTCAAATGTGTTGGGTGGCCTCATGTGATGGCTCCGACCCATAAAGGGCATTTAGTCTTGAATATATATGTGTGTGTGTGTGTGTGTGTGTTTATGTGTGTGCACATGTGCTGCACTTTTAAGGTGTGGGCATGTATGGCTGTAAGGACGAGGGAGCTCTATTGCTCGCCCCGATCAAGTCAGTATGCATCAGGGTGGCTGCTTTAAAGCAACGGTAATACGTCCAGGTCTGTATTGCATGAACCATCGCAGCTCTCTTACGTTCACAACATGATATCAGTCGGTGTGCACTGTGGGCGAGGCACATGTTTGCTGCAGTGCTCGGGGTTTATGGGACTTTAACTGGGGTTTCGGGAAAGGCTTACTGAGTTTAGTGCCACAGGAGCTGCCACCAGCAGTTTGGGGACGGGGCAGAAATGGGTTTCCATGGGAATGCACTGGAGCTCCACCGGATCTGAAGTCAGAAGCTCCGAGGGGTCTACTGGAAGAGAGAGAGGGGGGGAAGAGGAGGAGGAGGAGCTGTGAGTTCTTACAGACACAAACATATGCAGGCAAACCTCTGTAGCAGATTATTTTATACTGATATCTGTGCTTAATTATAATGATCTTTTAAAATTATGGGCAAAGCAAATAGTCAAGTTAGCACTGAGGTTGTTTTTATAGATGTTAATGCTGAATGTGTGTTATCACCTCACTTTACACCTTTGCTTGTTTGAATCTTCACGTCAAAAAGAGAGAGGGTTGGGTGTAACATCTCAGGAAGGAAAGTTTACAAAATCTGTGATACCTAGTCGACTAGTTATGCACTCATCCATAGTAGCAGCAGGTTAGTTCAAAATCATGGACTGGTATGATGCTGGTAAACCGAAAGAATGCAAATTTAGTTCATTTCAGGTAAATTCCATTAAAGCTGCATAGTAGAGTCGAGCCACATGTAATTTCATCTTAAATGTGAAACATTTTTTCCTGCTGGTTTTGAAATTAAAAATCCCCATCATGTTTCGTAAAAATCAAAGCAAACGGACTTCTGTTTTAGCTGTAAGTAAACAACAAAAGCAGCAAACACCACCAGTCAAAGGATTTTAGAGCGCTCTCATTTTTATACATATTAAGGGAAATTACATTGTGTAATATCTCAGTGCACTCTGAGTAAATAATGGTAATGGTTAATCCTTCAGTTTGTGCAAGCTCTTAAATCAAAGTGATGTTTTTATTGCTAAAATATCAAATTTACTGCTTTACAAAAAAAACAGAAAGAATTAGTAAAGCACATTATTGTTTTTTGATCGAGATGGTAAATTACAGCTATTTACTAGTTTTGGTGGTTGAATGCTATCTAACGCTTGATTAAGTGTGCTGGCTCAAATTCGGGAATAAAAACGTGAATTCAGTTTGTTGTTTGCCAAATAAATAAAAACATAATTTTTAGTTTTAAGCAAGTTTTTGACAGATTTCTAAAATATTTGTGCTTTTTTTTGGTGTTTTGTCAGGTGGTCTAACAAATTTGTGAAGCACTGTGGCCACTTTCAGTTGTTTCCTTATTCACGAGAGGTCACCACAGCAGGTAGCTTTAATTTGGCAGATTTTCTACTCTGGATCCCCTTCCTGATGCAGCCCCAAAGGGATCTGGATCTCCTCCTGGGATCAAACCGGGACTCCTTCACTTGTTAGGTGGGCTCTGGGCTTTAATTTCAGTGATCACTGGGACATAAAAGAAAACACACATAAAGAATGAAGAGGCAAATTTGATAAAAAAACTGCTTAAAATTTTGTGCCAAAATTAAGGTTTAACAAGCATTTTTCATCTTTTTGTGTTGTGGATTTTTTTTTGTCACATATCTCTTGTAACGTCTGTGTTGTACCGGTCTTTCCACAGTGGCGCACACATCAATGCACTTGCGGGTTGACCTGTCTGGTTAATCGAAGTTAAACTCTCTGTCCAGTTTGTTTCTTCAGAAATTTCAGGTCTTTGTGCTGCTGTGGGATAAACTGCAGACCCAGATTGCTTCAACTCTGTATTATATTTGATACACAAGTTTTTGTGAGTTTTTGAAATGTCTGCATCGTCAGTGTTGTTTTATTCTCTCTCAAAAACAAAATGTTTTAAGCAATAAAACATACCACATATAGCAAATTATTTTCTTTTTTAATTTGTCAGAAGGTTCAATAAACGCTCCAGTTTCAAAAAGAATAAAACATTTCTGGCCATTTTTCACAGTTCAGGATTTTCAGGGCCAACGGTGCATCAGAGGGTGTAGATTGTTCCTGTACAGACCAAGGGTTTCTAGTATTTGAGAAAAGTTGGGACACTTACGGGTGAATTTATTAACTTCCAGAGCTGCAGGAAAGCTGTAGTTCAACCAGTTTTCTTAAACTTAGACTTATTTTTTAATAAATTTACACATTTTTCTTTTCCTTTTTCCTTTGCTGGTGACCTGCTGACCTTCGTACCATTCAAGTTTATTAGAAATTTAAATAATGAGGGTGCCCTAAATCATTTGACTGGTAGGTTGTATCCAAGCAAATTAAGTAACTGTTTAGCTGCAAACATTTATTTTTATATGATATATATTTTTTAACAGAGATGAGAGCTGGCATGCTTTAATGCCAGGCCACATACTGCACACAGTAACGACTGAGACAGACATGATGTGATTCAACACCAAACAAAGACACTCAGATGAAAACAGTTGTCAATTTCAAGATTCCTCTCAAAACGAGTTGTTTTCATTTGCTCGCATCATAAGAAACAGAAACGTGAGGAGAGATGAAATGTGAAGATAACACGTGACACTACGGGCAGACAGTGAAAAGGACTGAGATCCTACAGAGCTAAAATCAAAAGAGGACTGAAATGAAAGAGCAAACCTGATTCGAGGCGGCAGATTCAGCGAAAGGAACATTGGTGACTGGGGTCGAGGCCGACGAAACAGTGGAGGTGGTGGCACCGTGCATCATGGGAACTTTTATTCGGGCGAGTCAGACGAAAGACAGAGGACGAGGATATGGGCGGGGAGGAGGGGAGGGGAGGGGAGGGGAAGGGAGGGGGAACAGGAATGATATGGTTACCATGGCAAAATGTGTAGGATCAAAAGTCATGGCACAAGTCAAGTGATATTGCCAGGATGAATTTGAACAAGTACCAGGACACATGCAAACAAAATCAGAGATAAAAGGAGAAAAAAATACATATTTAAATAGCTGACAGGATACAAAATAAAAAAAAATTAATTGCTCACCAACAAAATGGCAGTTAAACAAACAAAGCAATACACAGTCATACAATCTAATCAGACTGGAGTATCTGATAATTGTATTGAATGGACGGAGCATGTGTATGGAAAGAGCAAATGATCCATAAGAAATACTTTTATTCCTTTCGATTACAATGGAAGAGAAATCCTGAGAATTTAGTGATTTAATGGCAATCATATTTTATCGTTGCTCTGAAGTCCTGAGCTGAAGGTGCTAAAGACTGAAAGTACTGGTCCATTTTTATCCTCATTTGAGTCGCTTTTTATTATTATTATTATTATTACTAACTAAACAAAAGGCACTGGAACAAATCAAAGTTTAGTTGACTACTTGCAAAGACCAACAAGTCTGAAAACAGCACACATCTTGTCTAAGATGTATAATACTATTAAGATTCTCAATTGGTGTGTGTCAGACCAACCAAACTCACATATATGAACATAAGCCTGAAATATGTACACAAAACATGCACTGTGCTATTGTCCATCATCATACACAGCACAGCTGTGGCTCTGCAGCAACATTAGAAAGCATCTCTCACACCCAGAGGCGATAAGGTCATCGTCTCACTGCTCCACAGAAACATATAGTTGATTCATACCTTGAGCTGAAGCTTTTCAGCATAAACAAGAACTGAATTTGTCACATTTAATCTAATATGTTGCTTTTAATTGCACTTTTATCAATGTAACTTTAAAAGGGTTTTTTTATATTGACTTTGTATTGTCTCCGGCATGATCAGTTACTTGATTGTTGTGTTTTCCTTGACCTGTCACCCTGGACAGGATGTGCACTTCTGCAATCTATGGCAGGATGCAGGACAGTGACAACATCCACTTGTGGATTCATTATACAATAGATCGGCACTGTGACACTCAAACTGGTGTTTTCACCCCAGCTTCTTAATTATAGCTCGACTGAGGACTGTGAGGATGTATACACTGGGATTAATGTCGTCATACATGAAGAGTAGGGACACCAAACACTGTTATTGCTTTTATGTTCTATTTGTACATTTAGCAAGTAGGAAGGATATAATGAAATTATGTTTTTTTGGTTGCATTGTGAGAAATGTAGTAGTCAGAAGTTTTCATTCACTCATCATTGTGGTCATTTTGGGCTGGTAGCTTCTCTTTGCTCACTCACTGGATTGCCCAACACAGAGCTACACCTGCTTGTTGATGACTGCTAAAAGCATTTGGTTGAGGTGGAATCTGTTAAGGAATATTTAACCAAAATATCAGTGGGTTTGTTATGTATATATAACTGAGAGTGTCTGTTTACCTGTGTGGATTAGAGCAAATCCCCAATAAATTCAAACTTGTGCAACAAATTCTTGTTTTTTAAAGCCATTAAAGATCTATGCTGTGCAGGTTGAAATATGACCCTTTTTAATTCATTCCATTTCCCCATGCTTCCCTGAGCTTGGCACTACAACATTTTTAGGACATTTAAGGATTGTTAAAAAGGGCATCAAATCGATCTGATATCCAAACCAAAATCTCGATATCTTTACTGCATGTAAAGAAAAACCCCCCAGCTCATTCTGAGGGGATCGTGTGGAAGGCTCTGATTAATTTTTCATGCAACCATACCCATGTATTGACCCATATATTGCACTAAAGTGAGACTACCTCTTCTGCTTAATTTTTTTTTTTATATTTTCAAGTGAGGTAAGCAAAAGCACAAACAAAGTTTCCCACCGTTATAGAAATGCAGTCTGCTTTAGGCTGGAAACTAAAGTGGACAAAATTCAGCAAAAGAAATCCCCAAAAACAAAACCAGAGAGGGACTCGGACCATCCTGAAAAAGTATTTTACTGCAATTTATAACAGCAAAGACACATGAAAATATTTTGCTTCTTTTTTTCTTTTATGTCAAAATTATTCTCCAAATGTATTAAATTTACGTCCTAATATCAGTATGTAGCACTGGGAAATGTAATAAAGGTGGAACTGAAGTTAGGAAACACACACACGCAGACGTATGCATGACTAAACATCTTCTGCAACTTTTTGTGATTCTAATCTACCAGATTTTTAGTTCAGATGGACTGACCGAGTGAATCGTGTATCTGTGCTTCTCATCACTGTTGGTATCCCTAAACTATCTGAATAGAAACCCTGCATCAGTCTGCTGCTGTTCCACGGTTATGTAATCCTGAACAGCATTGACCTCAGACATAGTCTAATCCTCCATGGTTAAACTACAATATTCTGATATTTCTGACATCAGTTTAGTGAACATTTGTTTCGTGCATTTAAAAGAAAATCTGTAAAACCTTCCTCTAAACCAGCTGGCACTTCACTTCAGCCCTGAAGTGAGCTTCTGGAAGCTCTAAGGAGGGTGGTGCAGGTGGGGTCCTTGTGTGGTGAGCAAAAAAAGGAGGTCCCTTAATCTGTGAGTACAGACACTGACAGGAAGCTGATGAGGTTTTTTTCCACTCCCTGCTTTCCCAGCAGTCTGAGCTACCGGAGCTGGCACAGTTCATGTAAATCCAAATGCTTAAATGATTAAACACTTGCACTTAAGACTTGTTTGTTAAACTGGATGGAGAAAATCAGTGTTCGACTTCAGCAACGGAGAATAGTCGGTTCTCATTGTCAGGTCATCCAGTAGTTTGGTTTTGATTAAATAACGCATAGTCCATGAACTATGCTGCAAATAGAAAGTCATCGTCCATGTAACACTTCCAGGTTTAGGTCTGTCTGCTTTTGAAATTTCATTCCCCTAAAGGAAAACCGTTTCACATAAAACACAAGAAGCATGAACTTGAATCCCTGCTAATCAATTCTACTGCACATGTACGAACTACACAATTTATAGTTAACTGGGCGAAACATGGTCACCTGTATGGTCGTGCAGGCCTCTGATTAACACACCAATCCTACGGCTGGTCACATTTTGTACAAACACGTACATAAAACAAGAAACAGATGACAGCGAAAGTTAAGACGAGAGAGCAGACAAAGGTGTGCCCACAGGTTCAGGTTAGAGCAGGTAGCACAAGCAAGCAGCATGGAGTTAGTGCACAATGTGTACCGGCGCACAAAAACACACTGATGCAAGCTGCTGGTAAAGTAAAAGTGCAAACACCTCAAATCTCTAAATGCTGTAGTGAAGAAAATGGCATTCAAGTATCGAGGAATAAAAACTGCATGCCAAGTGTGTATGTGCACATGTACTATCCTATTGGTCAAACGTCTAGGTTTTGCTATGCTTCCCTGTTTAGTTGGTGATAGTAGCTTTGTCGTCTCAGTTTAATTGTAATTAAAAACCTTTATTTTAGTGCCAAATTTGCTTCCTTGGTGCAGACACTTTTATTTTTACTTCCCCGCATTCCCTCCAGACTTCCTGGAGAACGTAACAATCAGCAGTCAAGCTGAAGGTGATTATCAACTCCACCAGTAAACCCGGGGTGTCCTCAATCTATCTTGGAGCCGGTTCACATGAAAGAGGTGGTGTTGGCAGCATCTGACCAATCACAAACATGGCAGCAGAACAGCTGATTTTACAAAGGAAGACAAAGCTACAAAAGACTGGAAAAAATGCTACAATAGAAAATGTTTAGGTTAACTGACTTGTCATTATCAAAGCTCAATCATTAAGGCTCAATAGGATCTGACATATTCAGAAATCTGCACAAGACACTTGTAACCTTATTCTTTGAGCTGCAGCCCCGGCTGTGTAAAACCGTCTGAGAGCAAGGACAGAACAATTAAAAAACTGAATTGAAACCAGTAGGTGTGCAGATTTTATGAACAGTCAGTAATAACGAGTATTAAGTGTTCAGTTTTAGGATCAGACATGATTTTAAGCCTTGCAGAACAAATGAAAATAAATAAAATGGCTTTAAAACTGCTTGCTAGATAAAAATGAGCATTAACGTTGCTCTTAAGGATCTATATTTCTCTAAAGCACGACCTTCTCCTACCTGGATATTAAGGTCCACCTGTTTTTCCAGGACTGATGATGGCATTTTCCTGAGAATTGGTTAGTGACTAGGCGGTTGTTTCCTACGTGCAGGTTAGGTTTGCAGCTTTAGCTGCCATAGTGACTAATGAACCACCTTTGTGACTCAAAACTCTAAGTTAAACCTGAACCTTGCTAAAAACCTAATCCGGCTTTGTGGTTTAGGCCTTTAATGTGTTTGTCTCTTTAAGCTGTGTCCTCTGACTCTATGGCCTCATCACAAGCCAAGCAAGAGTGAATCCGAATCAAGCAACACAACAGACAGTGGAACAGAAGAGAAGCGTCACACAGCACAGAAGCCCTGAACAGACACAGCAACTTCTTCGTCCTACAGTTCTCCACCTTTGTGTTTGTGTGCACAGGCCACTTCTTGGATTCAAGGTTTGAGGGTGTATGAATTCAAGGGACCTCCTACTGGTGTTGCTAAGGTTTCCAGAGACTCACCAGTGGGGATAAAGGCTGGTTGCTGGAGCTGCATGTTAGCCAGGGCTTGCTGGTAGTGGAACATGCTGGGATTGAAGACGGTGGCAGCAGCTCCGTTGCTCTTCTCTAAGACAGGCCTCTTTGGTAGCGGCTGCATGGCCCCCGGGGGCAGACCCTGGCCATGAAGAGAAGGATATGAATGAAAGCAGTGGTTATCTTTCAACACAGGTAGTGATGGGTGTACAGAAAACACTCTCCCTGGAACAAAAAAAACAAAAGTAGATTAATCTGGTGTCATCTCAGGGTGAATATAAACTTTACCATTAAGATTACATGGATGCTTTTTACCACCACAAGAGGGCACTGCAGTATCTAAGATTAACTGAAGTGATGTAAGGACAGCCCAGAGGTCAGGCCAAGAGCAAAATGGGGCTTCTATCATTTCATCTTCTAATGGGGCTGGTGCTGAACCATAAAAATGCTATGGAAGATAACCAGGATATATAGGTATAAAACCTTAACACACAGGCCATTAATGTGGGATGTGGCTGAAGCAGGAGTATGTTTGAATGACCCCACCTGATCTACAGAAGTAACACAGCAGCAATCCCCTTCTTTACTGAAGTTAAAACAATGTTACAAGCTAAAACCAAAACCAAATTACCTAGAAATGATCTTTCTAAGTTCTTTCACTTTAATGATTTGTATCTTCTTTCAGTAACTATAGATTACTCACATCGATGGCGTTAGTCATTACAGGCAGCTTCACTCAAAATAGTGAACGATACGATAGAAGCAGTTAATGTGCTAAAAAACAAACCGTTTAGACCAGATCATCCTATCTGAAGCAGGATATTATGATCTTACATTGTATCATTGAACAATATAGCACTGGAAAGGAAAATCTGCTGCTGGTAATACAGCCTGGACTTGACGTGACATGAATTGTCCTGTTTTTTACTGCAACTTGGACACTAATTTCAGTGATAAGTGTTTTGTGTGTGGAGCACATATGCTGTCAAGAATCTTTGGCAGGGAAGCTTTAGAAGAAGCAGCAACTGTTGTACTCAAATAATCTTCAAGAACCTGATAAACTGAAAATTGTAGCTTCAGGAACACAAATCAAGAGAATAACATAGAATAACAAACTATTTTGTGAAATGCTGTTAAACAGCAGATACAGTTGGGTCTATAATTTGTAGTTTTGTATAAACAACTACAGTCGATTTTAAATCAAACAATCGAGATGTGATTGAAGATCAGATACCATCCATCCATTTTATACTGCTTATCTGGGTTCACGTCACGGGGGTAGGAGTCTAAACAGACAAACCTGGACTTCCATTACCCTAGGCAACACTTCCAGCTCATCCAGGGGGACACTAAGTCTTTCCCAAGCCAGCCGAGATATGTAATATCTCCAGCGGGTCCTCGGTCTGCCCCGGGCCTCCTTCTGGTAGGACATTAAATCATTCAAAAGGAGGCATCCTAGTCAGATACCCAAACCTCCTCAACTGACTCCTTTCGAGGTGGAGGAGCAACACTTCTACTCTGAGATCATCTTGAATGACTCAGCTCTTTATCTTATCTCTAAAGGAGAGCCCAGTCATCCTTCAAAAGGAAACTCATTTCCGACACTTGTATCTCTGACCTCATTCGTCTAGTCCCTACCCAGAGCTCGTGACCATAGGTGACCACAGGTGAGTGCAGGAACATAGACAGACCGGTAAATCCACAGCTACGTTTTTATGCTCAGTTCTCTCGACCACAACAGATTGGTACCAATCCAGCCCAGTCATCAGCAGGTGAGGCCTGTTTCCTTGTTACTTCATAAAAAACTTCACTTTAATTTTAAATATAAGACCCAAAGAGACGTAGAAAAAAACTGGAAAAATCAACAACCTGATCCATTCTTAAAAAGAAGGAATACAGTGGCCAGCTCAGCAACACCAAATGATAACAGAACGATTTCCACGATTAAGAAAAACAGCTTCCCAACATTTAACAAAGTCATGAACTTGAGAGAATGCAAACCACTGGTTACACTAAAGAACAAAAAGGCCCAAAAAAGTCTGCAAAGTTCTAGAAGTTTTATTTTGTGGGGGGAATAGATAAAGCTGCCAGGAGCAGAGGTAGTGAATGTGGATGAGTTTAAATACCTGGGGTCAACCATCCCAAGCAGCAAACAACAGAGGTGAAGAAGAGAGTGCAGGCAGAGTGGAGTGGGTGGAGATGAGTGTCAGGGTGATTTGTGGCAGCAACAGTGAAAAGGGAGGTTTACGAGATGATAGTGAGACCGGATATGATCTTTGGTTTGGAGACGATGGCACTGACAAAAAGACAGGAGGCCAGCATGGAGGTGGCAAAGCTGAAAACTGTAATTCTCAAAGAGCTGATGCAATTTTTTTGTAAAACCCCTAGAAATGAAAGCTGAAAGTCCAAACTTCAATTACATCTTGATTCAACCCAGCAGTGCTATTAATTAAACAGAGCAACAAAACAAAAACTGTCCAACAAATTATGGATTTAGCTGTATGGCAGAGGTTGGCTTGCTTTACAGTTGGCTTACACGCATGTTTTTCTTCTGAAAAACATGAGAATATTTTAATGCTTATTTTTGTTAAAAAGTACAGAGACACAGTGTCGAGGACGACTCACCAAGCCTGAGGACGGGGTGTTTTGACCGGCTTGGTGCTGTGCAGCCTTGATTCTGGCCTGCAGGTGAGCTGGAGGGTGGAAGTACTTGCACTTGTCTCGGCTGCAGCGGCCTTTAATATAGTCCATGCAGACAATGACCGAGTTCTCGTTGCAGTCCACCATGCCCGCCTCCAGGGGGTGAGCGTAGCGGCAGTCGTTCTCACCTCGCGTGCAGTTCCCGCGCTGGAATTCTCTGCAAACCTGGCGGGGCAGGTGGGAGCACCGATCAACAATCACCTTTCAGCGTTTTTCCACAAAACATAGAAACACAACAACTGCACGCTGGCTGCATACCTCCAGCTTGTCTGTGCGCACATGTTTTTGTGCGGAGGTGCCATTTCCCATGGCTGCCAGACCGGTAGGACTCCCGGGGACGAGCAGGGGAGTGCTGGGCAGCAGCTCAGGCATCAAACCCATCGCTGGGCCCATGTGGCTCAGATATGGACTGAATGCCATGCTGGGACTCGTTGCCAGAGAGGGTGTCACTGGGAATGTTGTCTGAAAGAAAGAGAACAAGAAAGAGACAATTTATGGCAGAGCTTTCAATAGGAGGCTTGAAGTGCTTGACTGCCAGCACTGCTTTTTACAGGAATAAGAACAATGCAGCTGCCTAAACAACTTCTACAAGCATGAAAAAAAAGCTGAGCAGGCAGAATACATAAAAGACTTTCAATGTCACTTGAGATTCTGCAAATTTTTCCTTGTACAGTAAGAAACTTTGGCTTTCAAACACTTTTTAAAAACAAAAAGGCTCTTTTTATTCCCTCTTTCATGTATGTAAGAGGACAGAAATAACCAGCATTGATAGAGTGAAATATTATTCTACTCCTTGTTGTCTGTTTAGCGCACATCTTGCACACGGCACGGTGTTTTGTTGACTGCATTACTGTAGAGTCATAGTTTAGGATGGGCTGCTCACTATGGGCTGCAGTTGTGTTCCAGGCAGCATGAACTGCATCTGCTGAGCCAACATGGCTGCCGCGGCCTTCTGCTGGATCAGGTTGTTCCTCCCATTGATTTCCAGCTGGGTTTTCAGGTGCGGAGGTGGGTGCAGGTATTTGCAGTTCTCGCGTGTGCAACGCCCCTGAAGAGGAGAGCGGAGACAGGAAGGATGAGCATAGAAGCTTTAAGCAGGCAACAAAAACTCACTCTCACTCAAAAAATAATTAAATAAATAAAAATCACCTCTTATCAGAGCAACCGATTCAAGTTTAGCAGAGGAGTCATCCATATAATCAAGTGTAATTTGTTACACTAAACATCAAGGATCTAGTGTGCTTTCAGAGGAGTCCTAATGACTATGCCTTATAAATTTTGGTGAATAAAGTACTAATGAAGCCCCAGAAGAGCTTCTGCTGCATAATTCATGAGAAAAATGCAACTGCTTTGTAAAAGAGTTCTGACGAATATTCAAAGGTGGGTTTTTTTTTAATTTCTCAGGATATAATCATTTCATTTTGTCATTAAGTCATTTTTTGAGGCAATGTGAAACGACAGGTGTTGTATTTGAGCCAGCTTTGGATTTTTCCACAGCAGAAAAATAAACTAAAGTGACAAGCGATAAAGCTGGAGGCTGATAACACATGCTTAACTCTCACCGTCCTCTATGATAGAGTCAGTATCTCCATCGGGAAGATATCAGCTCAAAAATAAAATAAAATAACCTATTTTCTGAAATAAGGGAAAAACATTGCAGTGCATGAGTGAAAAAGCAAAAGCAGTCATTACTGGAAAAAATAAACTCACAAGCCAAATTTGTACATTTTGACATAACAGAGGGAAAGAGATATGAGTCCCCCGGGGGTTGTGCCAGGAAGGGTATCCGGCGTAAAACTCTGCCAAATCAAACATGTGGAGCTACCTGCTGTGGTGAGCTCTTGTGACAAGGAAGCAGCCGAAAGTGGCTTTGATATAACAGATGAATTGATACAGAACAGCATCAGCCAAAAAAAAGCTGGTCTGCAAAGAATCATGATATCTTCAAGAAGCATTTCAACTATGAGTTAACTGTACATAGGCCTATAATTCATATATGCAGACTAGATTTATAAAGTAAAGTTGGGAACCAGTCCTTACTAATTATTAATTTCTGTTTGTGATTTTTCTTTTCTTTCTAATAATATATTAAAAAAATGTTTAAAAAAAGAAAAATCATAGATACGATAATCTACTGAACACAGAGATACATCCATCAGTACGTGAGCTTATGTAATAAGCATCTTTATTTGTAACTGATTTCCTATTCTTGAATTCTAGCCTTGGTTAAGAAAATAGCTGCAAAATTTGCTGGGTGAGTTTATTGAACGTCACCTGGACGTTCACGTTGGGGTTTCTAGCAATGTAGGTCTGTAGAGAAGAGAGAGTTGTTTTATATCAGTCTTTTAGTAATAAGAACAAAGGGAAGTGAAAATACCATTTTTAAAGTGAGAGAAATGAAAAAATTCTTTCAAGGTAACAATGTTTCCAGCGATGTTGTGAACCATGTTATTGTAAATCAACCACGAACTGCCAGTCAAAAAGAACACTGTGTATAGATTTAAACCAAGTACACCTGACCACAGCACCTGAAAAGGCACAAACCTACCAGGGACAGAAACTGTTACCGGGAGGGTTGCTTTTGCCAAGCCTGTGCCATCACCAGAAGCAGTGTAGGTTACAAAAGCAAAGATCAGCCAGCACATAAAGAAAAAGCAGCCTGTTTTCCTGTGCAGAATCACCATCCAGTACTCTTTGCACTGGTTTTCACTGAAACTGCTGCAGTGGTACTTTAACAGATTGCTTTGTATAAGGAGTAAATAAGTCAAATAATGCATTGCTTTAAAACAAGCATTTACAATTGATAAGCTGATCTGAATGATCTAAAATCTGACAAGCACTTTGATTGATCTTCTTCATCTAAGTTGATTTAGCTTTAAGTAAACTTAAAAAGGCTTTATATTGGGTTAATTCTAATTCTATTTATTTAATTAAAATGCAGTTTAATGCCAGAAATGCCAGCTCCAGTTCTTTTTTTTAAATCTGATCATCTAATGAGACTACAACTCAGCTGGTTCTAGCTACACTCTGTAATCAATGCCATGGATTTACAGATGCAACTGAGGATAATCTCATTACTGCACAATACGTGGATATTTTGAATTTATCATCTCAGAAAACTGGGAAAAATTAAAGTCATAAATTACCAGCGAATCTTATCCTGCATCAGCAGCTGTGGCCAAAACCCGTTTTGATCAGAAGTCATTCTTCATGCTCCTTTTTACTTGTCATTTCTGGCTTTTTGACAAACTCTAAATCAGATTTGGATCCATTTATCTAAAAGCAATCAATTTGGCCCAGAATGCCGTTAAAGCAGTGTCCTTGCTCCCTGGCAGACTGTGGGGAAGGTGAAGATGGTGCTGCAGGAACACTGCAGGTCAACGCACACTCAGAGGAGAAACTGCAGTCTTCATTAAACCCCTGGGCTGACAGCATCTGTCTGCTCCTGCAGATGAGTCGTTAACCCGCTAAACTACCTCCGCTGAGCCTCGGCAACATGCTCTGTCATCAAACCACACCCACAGAAAGTCCCTCGCATTAGGTGATCACGAGCAAACCAAGAGCACTAAAGCAGAGGACAATAATACAATCTGAAGACAAGCTGACGTCATGGTGCAGAGGCTCTGATTGTGATGGATAACATGCTGAGATGAGGGCACATAAAAAGGGTGTTAGCAGCAGGATAACTCTATAAAAATAGGGGGAAGCCGCAGTGTCTCTTCACCAGCATCCACTCACACAACCTCACACAGCAGACAAAAAAGCACGAGAGCACACAGCAACGCAGCCGCCTGAAAACCGGTCATGATGGTACACAGGCATATAAAAACACTCTCGCCTACACCGGAGCAAGCTTTGCGTCAGCGAGCTGTGTGTTTAGGGATGAGACTGTAATGAAGAGAGAGTCCCATGAGCACAGCATGCCTGCTCCAACTGAGAGGGAAAGAAAAGTATCTATTAATGAATCTAATGGTGCATTGACGTTATGCATTGCACGATCCAGACAGAAACACAAAGAAATAAAGAAAACTTTGATACAAAACCTTTATGAAAGCTGTGACATCTGGGTTAGAGAAAGAGGCCAATGAATAGCGGTGCTGAGGAGAGTACTAGGTCAGGAATCTCCTTTTGGTAGCCATGGCAACACACTACACAACACAGAGAAAGTCCCTGTTTGTACAGTAGTGTGCTGCTGATGCGCAGAGAGAAGAGAGAGCTAGTACGTCGATTAAAAAAAGATCACAGCGCAGCTCTACTCTGTGGCACACAATGACAGAACTGCACTGTAAACAATATTAACATGAAACACAACTGGTGCTTTCTTTCAGTTAAAGACGACCTGTTATGCTCATTTCCACCACTTTTTTTATTCTTGGACTCAGCTAGAGTGGCCTTTGCATTGGTTGCCAGTTCAACATAATCCATCTTCTGATTGGCTGCTCTTCATAAAGCAGGTTAGAACACCAGATAGGAGGAGCTGTCCCTCATGTGGCCCAACATAACAATATTAGGGATATCGCAGTGATACAAACACATATGTAATGCCAACATTGCGTTTCTTGCTAAGTCTGGTAAGACTGCAATAATACTGCTCTGTAACTGCAGAATAACCAGAGTACATGGAGACTTTTCTGCATTAATATCAAACATAAATACTATGCATTTTACTGATATAACTGTGACATCGTTATTAGATTATGTTGGCAAATCCAACTGTTTAGAATATCAGTGTAGCATTCACAGTGGTATTTGGTAACATTGATGCGATGAGGGCCTGGTCTTACGTTTTTACTTACTTTGTTGTGTAAGTTCTCACTAACATCATGCAAATGAAAGAATAGAAACAGCTGGACATATCTACCACGAATGTCGTTACCCCCCGGGCCGGTCTTTTCAGCTGGTCTCAGGGTTTTGAGTAATTTTTAAGTTTAGGATCCTTGTTTGTTTTTGGAGGTACTCTCAGTTTGATCATTCCAGGGTTTTTTCATTCTTTATTTTGTTTATTGCTAAACTTTAATTTTCAGTCATTCCTTCGGATTGTAAGGAAACACTTCTGGTGATATTTTAATTCTAGTTTTGTAGTTTGTATTTATGATATTTTATTAGTCCCCTCGGTGTTTCAGTGTTGGCATTTCCCTGTTTCGCTGTTATTCATTTTCTGTTTTACTTTGGTGATCATCTCTTTCCTGTGTTAAACTTTTAGTTTAACTTCCCCTCCTGACCCATTGTCGTTGATTGTCTTCACCTGTGTGATCACTCTTGTGTTGTTACCCTCTTTCATTCAGCTCTCTTGTTACCTCAAGTGTATGAATAGTCCAATCCTTTACTTTAGTCTTTGTCTTACTGTCTGTTGATCTTCCTTTGCAGTCACTATTGTGTACTCCTGCATGACTTTTTGACTTTGCTACTTTGTTTATGAGTTGTGTACTTCCCTTATTATCTCATGTATATAAATAGTCCGGTCCTTCTCCTTAGTCTATGTCCTGGTGACTCTTAATTTTCCTGCGTATTCACCATTGATTTCGATTTTGGTATATCAGCTTAAACAAATGGCTTTTGGTCTGCCTCCTGTTATCCTGCCTCAGTCCTCACCAGTCCTACAATCCAAATTCATAACAGTGAAGTGAAACCACACTCGTGATTGACAACTTATTAACTGATTAGGATACCTGGATAATCCTCCTTTGTGAAATTTAGAATGACCAAAATTTACAAAATGAAATTAATATTTTATTCAGTGTGGCCTGAAATGAGTGGCTGAGCCCATGAAATCCTGGGGAAATAAGGCCATTTTCCCAGAACTGTTCAACCATATATATGGCCACCTGGTGGCCGTCAAAAAGTTTAATGTCAGTTTAAGAAATTTCCTTACTGGCTTTGCTTTTCAGATCAGGAGGTAATGTCCATCTTTTATATTGGGTCTGATTGAACCATGAACCTTGGCTCAGACACATAAAAAGGGTGTTAGCAGCACCCAAATATTTTGGGGTATTGTTGGTTTTTTTGGACAAAAAAAATCGATTTCAAAGAAGAATTTGGCTTTTAAACTTGGAGATTTTCATGTGCTTCACATTAGGTTAGTTGACCACAAAGATTAGTTCCTAAATCTAAATCGCATAAAATGTTGTTAGCTGCAGTCCTTCGATGATGTCATTCAAAGGTGACACTGCTATTGAATCATCTTTAGGTTGAAAAGTAGCATGGTGGGTAGATGCAGTGCCTACATTAATCATTTGAGATGACAGCAGCACTTCAGTTAACAAGGTAAAAAGAACTAGGCGGTGGGTTCAGACCAACCAGACAGAGCTAATGGAGGAGCAACAGAGAATGACAGCGGTCGGCTTGGGCCGGCATGGAGATGCCAGATATGGGAGGGATGATGAGGAGGGAAGCCATTAGAAATGAAATTAACAAAGGAGGGAGGGGTGGGCGGGGAGCAGGAGGAAGGAGCGATGCTGTAGAGTGGCTCTGCCTGGGACAGTGCGTGACGCTTCCTTGTTTTTTCTAGTCAGTCGACTGAAAGCAACAACTGTCAGCTGAGCACAATCCCGAACAACAACGAAGACAGAAACACTGGCATAGAAAAGATGGTTTCACACTCTGTGGCGGCACTGCATGTTAAAACCATCTGATCTGACCTTCGTCACCAGCTTCAGCTCTCTCTCAGACTATCAACGTGACCCTGGAGCTTCAAACAGCCTCTTCTTCCTGTCAGTGAGACCAGTACAGGGCCAGGCTGTTGCTCGGTGCTAAAAACAGCCGTGCCACTCAGGAAGATCAAACTATCCAATGGGTATGCACTCCTGTGCTGTTGCTAGGCCCCCTCTCTCTTTCGCTCTCTCTCCTCTCCAACTCCCCCCTTCTCTGGAGGACATAACACAGAAAAATGGCTGAATAATAAATTCTAACTCAATAAACGAGGAGACAGCAGCTGCACTCAGACAGAAAGCCCCTTGTCCGAGTCTCACTTTTTCACTGAGGCAAAGCTGGTGGACAAACATGCATAGATCAACACGAATGCACGCGCACGAGTGGAGCAACAGTGTATTCTGGATTTTAGCATAATTGGCCATTGAGAGATGTAACTCCTCTAAAATGCACCACGTTTCAGACTGTTTTTACACAGCGTGCGAGCAGCGCTAGTGTTGTGATTCTGTGGTAGAGGAGCGAGAGGGGGTGAGGAAAGCAGCGGCAGAGATGCTGGAGCAGTACAACCGACTAGCCCACATCAGAGGTGGTGGAGGAACAGAGAGCATCAGCTGAGCCGCTTTACGAGAAATTATGCCTCGTCCGAGCGGAAACAATAAATATCTGGAAAACCAGATGTCATTCCCTGGTTTATCTAGCTACAAATAAAGACAGAATCTGTATTTAGTTATTAAGACTCATGCCTGGTTATACCAGTTATACCATGGCCAAAAAAAATCTGGCTGAAAGGTTTATGACCCAGACAGTAACCAGACACATGTTTTTTCACCTCTAAATCAATATGGTAACATTAAACTATAAGTTTTTTTTTTTTAAAAAGACAGTATTTTACATGGAGACAGTAAAACGGCTAATTAGCTAATGTGCCTATTTGGGGGGTGATATTTGAGGCAGCCAAATGATACATAGTAATTCATAATCAGAAATAATAATTTTAAAAAAACCTTTACTTTGTGATTTTCAGTTTAAAATATAAAGCTACTATCAAATGTCACCAGACATAACAGAGCTTTTATTGTGAAAATCACAGGCTACACCTAAAATTGAATGAAAGAGGTATAACGCCACATTATATGAAAAAATTCAGCTCTTGCTACTTTAAACTTTGATATTAGTTCAAGAAAAGCCAAAAAAGTATCCAAGTAAAAAAACCAAAAATCCAATAACACACAAACTGTTTTTTGTTTTTTGATATTAAAGCAAGAATTGCAACTATATTAAGATATATTAACCCTGACATCTGAGCCACAGAGGAAATCACTAGTGCAAGATTATAGTTTTGCAGCTGATGACAATTTCTATTAATTAAAACAATTCTGATATTAATACTGAATGATATTTTATAAATACACAGGTATAAAATTGCACAGCTATGATAAAAAGTGTAAATGCTGGGGTTTTTATTAAAAAACCATCTATCCTTCACAAACTACCACATCTTTCACAAGCAATTCAATGTGAAGACACCGCCTGACTGCACTACTGTCTGTTCATGCTACTCTGCTGCATGTGCTGAAAACACTAATAAGACTATTTCTAAATTACTCCAAGCATATTTTCTCTATTATGTTCTTTGGGAAAAAATTATCATAAAGTTATCATATAAAATGGAGCATGTAGGAAAAGGTAAATATGGTGTCTCTAATACATCTGTAATCGCTCAACATTAGCCAAGAAGCTGACAGACAGACAGATATGCAGAATGTATCAGCTGGGCTCTAATCTATTACAGGTATGGAAATGATTGTCAGCAGTGCCTCTTTATCATACAGTAGACTATCTAAACTACAGGGTGTTTCACTATCACAGGTTTTTCCCGGCTTCCCAGGCCTTTTGGAGACTAACTAATGTTAAGTACAAATAGATAAGAAACTGAGCCAGTGTTACTTCACTTAACAGAATATTTTTGGCATTTGTGAAATAAAAATATATTATAGTCTTGAGTAAATGAAACTGCCACTCAGAATAACTGGTTAAAAATATTCTGTATCGCAGTCTCGGTGGTTTTCCTTTTTGGGGGAAAGGCCAAAGCCTGAATTTTCTTTCTTATATATATATATACCTGAACAGGGTTTTTTTGTACCTCAAAATAGGCCTTTGGCCACAACTTGTCACAAACAGTGAAAGGAAAGAGTCTTTGTTACCTCACTTACATTAAGTTTATGCACTATGCTGTTATTTCCGGCAATTCGATAGACGAAAACGTACTTTACAGTTACTGGTAAGTAAATAACTCCCAACTTAAATAGCTCAAAAGAATTTTATTACAGTCTTGGTGATTTTCCCCTTAGGGGGAGGCCAGACGCTCTTTACAGGCAGTAAACCCCTAATGACGTGTTCTTATCTTAGCTAAATGGTGACAAAATAAAATATGTCATTTACAGCTGTTTTTCTCATGAATTAAAAAGGCCATTGTGGGACGTGAAAAGAACACACTTTTCCTTCATTATACAATTTTTTTTAAAAAACTACAGAAAAATGTTACTAAGACTTGAAATAACACACATCCCTATACTTTCCAGGCCCAGAATCACAGAGATTTACACTATAAAGATAAAATTAGAATATATTGTTAAGTAAAGTTAAACTGACATAGTTTAATAGGTTTAAGGGGTGGACCACGCAAATCCTAACGTATCGCTACGTGATGTGTTTTTCCTGCTAAAGACGAGCAAACTCATTTGAAACACTGCACAAAATCCTGGTTTGTGTGTACGTCAGGATGTGTTTATATGTCATTCAGCTATATAATACTTCACAGAGCCAAAAGCCATTGACTAGCTTGACATGAAGCACAATGAATGTGTGGAAACAAACAAGCTGTATTAGAGCAGCGTGTCTGTAGCACAGTTACCTTGAGCGAATCAAAGCAGGCGATGACTCGGCCGTTCTCCACATGGCAGCTCCGTGAGGGATGTGCAAACTTACACTCAGCGTCAGACCGCGAGCAGGTGCCTCTCTGAAACTCACGACACACTTCCAAGGTCAGCCATTTGGTGTCTCGTCCCATGGTCATGCTGACAGCCATCAGAGACGCTCGCAGACGCTGTGCAGCGGCAGTGGGCAAACTGACGGAAAACTGTCTGATGAGAGCAAGGGTGACTAATGGTGATTCAAGACAAAAAATCCCCCAGCACAACACAGAGGAAACAGAAGCAAAAATATTTTCGGTTTCTCCTCAGTGCAAATAGGCAGCAAGTCCTTTTGGTTGGTGTATTTTGGGGGATGTTTATTAGTTCTTCCTGGGAAAAGTGGCAGCTGAAGTCTCACTGCAGTGAGATATATAGAGGGGCTTGACTGTGAGCAGAGGCCAGCTCTGTCTCAAAAAAAAGGAAGAAAAAAAGGAAACTAATCTGAGGGCATCACTCTGGCATGTCGCTTGGATCGCAGAGTCGCCGAGTGTGTGCATTCACCTGTATCAGCCCGCTGTAAATCACCACTACATTCACGTCAACATGGCCAGGCTGGGGCATTCACTGTAGTTCTACTTTAGTTATATTTGGGCAGCCTGACAAGGAAACTAAAGATTTCTTTAGAGCAAAACAAAAAACAAGAACAAAACAAAAATAAAACAAAAAAAAAGACAGACAGTCTTACACGGAGATGTCCTTGTAATGATGAGACGAAGTGGCTGCTCAGCTCAGGGTATGCTGGGACTGCAGCTCAGCAATGTGGGATGGATGACTCTGTGGCTGTCAGGATAAAATACAGCCTCCATTCAAGGCCAGACACACACCGTCCCGCTGTAATCCAGCAGACTCGGCAGACGTACCCTCGCAGTAGGCACTTTGGAGTTCCACTTCCTCCTCTTACTTCAGTCTCTTTCTCATCCCTCCTTGTCCGTTTCCTATTCTTCTGCTGTCATCCTCCTCCTCCTCCTCCTCACTGACCTCTCTGCTGCATGTCCTTGCTTGCTGCCTTGCTGTGGATTGCAAAAACAGAGGAGCATTAACAAAACACCAGCCTGTTGAGGAGAGAACGTGACAGTAGAGCTACAACCTGGTGTGGAGTTTGCTTAAACGGAGGGCGACGAGGATCACGAGGCAGGGAGGGTGGACGCGAAACAGCCAAAGAGGAGAAGACGAGGGCAAACAAATAGGGTAGCAGGGAGGGAGGCAGCGGTGAACAGGAAAGGGCAAGCTACAGTATGTCTTGATTAAGTGATATAAGAGAGGGAGAGAGAGGGAGAGGATGGAGGGAGGGAGATTGCAGGCAGTGGAGACGTCACTTTAACTCCGGTGAGCTCCATGGAGCAGAAAGTAATTGACTAACTTGACATGATTCACGCAGAAACACACAGTGGATAGAGGTGTCCTTGAAGTGGCACAGGTTGGCACGCTGGTCCACACAGATGAGTGCCAGACAGTTATTAATGCGAGGGGTAGAGACAGGAAAAGCAGAGCCAGGGCAGAGAGAGAAGGGGTAGTTCATCACAACTGCAGCTGCTGTGCTCAATGCAGAGCAGCAGCCAATCAGGCAGACTCTTACAGGCAGGCAGGGCACGTGACTAACCAATGACAGAGCAGTTTAAAGCTCAGCTCCTCCCTTCACACAGCCTGTCCTTGTTCCTCTCTGATTCCCCCACCCCTCCTCACTGGTACAAGCACAGTCATGGCAGTCATGGCTGAGCCACATGCTAATATCCACGCTGTACAAGAGCCCTGAGCTGAAACCAGACAGCTCAGTCTTCTCACAGATGTGGAGGAGTTATCCAAACTGTACACTCTGCTGCAGCATGATGCAAGGATGATGCATGCAGCCTGTTGTGCTGCTCACTCTGAAGGAGCAGAGTGACGTGTCCAGACACTAAGTGAATACAGATACTGATCAGAGAGGTGACACATGCACACAGAAGAAACTAGCAGCTTCTCAAGGGAAGAGGAGGTCCAGACTGCATTTTGGGGGGGACTTTTTAAATTGTAAATTGAAGAGAAAGAAGACTATGCTGTTTAAAACCTGAGTGCATGTCCAATTAATTAAGAACAGAAGAGATGCAGGAAAGAAGGAGTGAAAAATAAAAAAACAAAACAGGGGAAGGAGGACAGGGCGTTGGAGCAGATATTATCAGTCCCTGCGTCTGACGGCGGCAGACACAGACGGAGGAAGCGACGGGGGGGGGGCTAGAATGTGAGGGAACGAGTGTGTGGTGTGGTGTGTGTGTGTGTGTGTGTGTGTGTGTGTGAGCATGCAGATACACAGCCCAGAAGGAGAACACTGCAGCAGAGTGGGAGACGGAGGGATAAGGGGGAGGTGGGAACTGAATTGATACACCCACCTTCAAACACAAGAACAAAGACACATCCCAGCCAAAAAAAGAGGAATGAGAGATGAGCAGGTACAGCAATTGCTTTGCTTGCTTTAACCACTCTGCTTGTCTGTGCCTCTTCTCTCCTCTCAGCCTACCTATAGATCGATAGAAACTTTTCTCAGGGGCACAAGGCAAGCACCTCCTCCTCCTGCAGCTCTGCCTGTCCTTCATTCAGGTCCACATCAGTGTCAAACGCCTCTGCTTACGCACATCCTGACGATGCAGCTCAGCAATATGCAACACACATCATCAAAATGCTCCTCAGCAACACTCCTCGCGCTCGCCACACCAGACACCAAATGGCGCACAGTTGCCATTACAACCATTCTTGGAAAGCTGCATTGAAAAACTGGCTCTCCTCCAATGCCAGCCTAGTTTACACTGCACTGGGCAACTTTGAATATACACAGGAACAATTTTTTACTTCCTCATACAAGCTGCTGGGACTCTGCTTTCCTCAGTTTGCCTCTTGCCTCTATTGAGGCCTTTATGGATACAGCAAGACAAAGGAAACAGTTAAAAACAGAGAATTAAAGCCATGGAATAATGTGTAAGTGGGTTAAATGTGACATGGCCACTTGGGGGTGTTGGTTTGTTTGTTTTTTTACAGCATGGTCATAAACAGACCAGTGAGCGCCTGAGTTAGCAGACCTGACATTTTGCAAGTGATAAAGTAACTTTTATTAATTAGTTACTTATAAGTGGGAGCTGCTCCTACATCACCGAGCGTGTAAATGTAGCTAAATGGAAAAGAACAGATGACTTTTACTGCAACCTAAGAGTATCAAATTATTCAGAAGTACTCTGAATGAACTGACAATCCTTTCCTTTCCTAGTGGATATGTGTGATGCTCTTCTTGCACGCTAATACTGTGAGCTACATGCAAAATACTGCAAAATTCCCATATAACCCTAACAAACTAGTACATACTTTAACACTGTAGGTTAGTGCACGGCTGTGCATGTTAACTTACTAGGCACCACTGCCCAGTATCCTGGCAAAACATATGGTAGGGGACTATAGTAAGCAAACATGTACCTGCTCATTAATACTGTTGGAAATTTTAAAATCTCATCTTCATCAGAAACCACACATTTCTTTGCAGAAATTTCATGGCATTCATTCCAATAAGTGTTAAGCTACTTCTTTGTTGCCCTGTGATGGGTAGCTTTCTTGTAATAAGCTCCAACCACTTCACAGCCTTGAATTAGATAAGAAAGCTGGATGAATGGATGGATACTAGAGAGAGGACAAAAGGTGGATCAAGTCTGAAAAGTGAAGCTAATGTAAGAAGTGCCCGAAACCTGCATTATTTTTAATGGTCCATAGGGGACAACCTCTCTGGTTATAAAAAGACTTCTGGTTGTGTAGAAGCCTATGAGAAAAAAAGTGCTTGGCCAACTTGATCTATGTCCTCAGTAAACACTTTCCTATTGACTTTATTGAATAAAATTTTGAATTTAAAATCCATCTCATCACATGCAAGGTCCCGTTTTACCTCAAAGACCTCATAGTACCATATCACCCCAGTAGAGCTTTTCATTCTCAGACTCCAGGCTTACTTGTTCCTAGAGTACTTAAAAGTAGATCGGGAGGCAGAGCCTTCAGCTTTCAGATCCCTCTTTTGTGGAACCAGCTCCCAGTTTGGATTTGGGAGACATCCTCTCTACTTTTAAGATTAGGCTTAAAACTTTCCTTTGTGATAAAGCACATAGTCCCTCAGCTGACCCCGATCAGGTGACCTTGAATTCTCCCTTAGTTACACTGCAATAGGTCTAGGCTGCTGGGGATTTCCCATGATGCACTGTTTCTTTTTCACTGACTATGTGTTAATAGAGCTCTTGTCATTTAATAATTAGTTATTATTAATCTTTGGCTCTCTTCCACAGCATGTCTTTTGTCCTGTCTTCCTGACCTCACCCCAACCGGTCATGGCCGAGGGCCGCCTCTCCCTGAGCTTGGTTCTTCCAGATGTTTCTTCCTGTTAAAAGGGAGTTTTTCCTTTCAACTATCGTCACTCATAGGAGGTCAACTGATTGTTGGGGTTTTCTCTGTATTTTGTAGGGTCTTTACCTTTTAATATAAAGTGCATTGAGGCGATTATTGTTGCTATATAAATAAAATCGAATTGAAAAACACTGAATTTATGAGCTGAACTGTAAATTATAATCACAACAACACACCTCAGCATCCGTTGGCCTGTTGCTGTTGGTAAACTGATGTCCTTTATGTAAAAAAAAAGTAAAATAAATAAATAAATAAGACTGGTAGATGTTATGTATATGCTAAAAATGGGTCAAGCGTTATCCCACTGCAAGGTGGTTGCTAGGCAATGTGATGGCATCATAAGGTATTAAGGACAATTTATCTTTTGTATAGTAAACGTTATTGTGAAATAAAATGGATGGGGTATTTCTATGAGGTTTTACTGACGCGTAAATGCCAAATATCAGGTCATTTTAGCCTGTTGCTAGGAGGTTGTTAAGCAACATGATGATGACATAATATAGGACATAGCCAAGAACAGGGGCTGGCAATACATCTTCCCAAGAGGCCACATGACAAAGCTGAGATTCTCGTGGAGGGCCACACCTATAATTTGAATTTAATTCCGCTCAGTGTTAATTTTAGTTCTTTATAAGCTTATTGATGCGGCCCTCTACAACAGTGCCAGTTTCATATGTGGTTCCCTTAAGGAAAATCAATTGCCCATCCTTGGCTAAGAGCTTTCAGGGGCCTAAGATTTATCTGTTTTCTAAGTTTCGTTGCCCAACTCCTGATAGCGTAGAAAGACTTTGCAGACAAGGAAACAAACACACAGTCAGACAGACAGAGACTTTGTGTATTATAGTCAGATTATTAGAGTCGGAGAGGAGGATAATCCAGGACGCACCACAATCACTGGAATGAGCATGCACTGTAAGTGGTTTCTTTGTCAGACCCACACCTTTCCTCTTCATATATAGCTCTAAAACACCATGAAAACACTTGAAACGGTGTAAACTGGTCAACCAGGACTCATTAACATACTACTGCAGCTGAAAAACTGTAATCTCTGTTAAAAATAGTTCAGGCTAATAAGACATTGACATATCAACAGTCTCAATATGTTTTTAAACACAGTTTAGAATTGACATCTACTGCTAAGCTGCTTTGTTGCAAAACCCGACCTACCACAATAGATCTGACAGGAGGAGACCACAAGGCACACGAGTTGAACAAAAAGCCAGTGAGCACGGAATGAAGAAGCAGACAGAGTGAAAGGGTTGACTAAGAAAAAATGAAAGAGAAAGAATTTGGTTCTTACACTAAATGCTGATCAGGAAACGTGGGTGTGATACTGCATACTTTAGTTTTATTAATGTTAATTATCTGCTCAAACACCACAGATAACAAAGTGCTGTTCAGTGATTAAATATAATATATCCAGGAAAGGGTTTATAATGTGTATATTAAAATAATAATGTCTTAATGAAGTGTATATATGCACAATTACATTGACAAATAATCCCATTTGCAATGTTGACATACAATGACTTGCTGTTTAAAGACTAAAGCATGAATATCATGCTTATAAAAAGTAGGTTATGGCCATGCTGACACACCAAGAGCTGGAGGTAATCTACCTTAATTCTGGTTGACAGATAAACTGATTTTAACTAATGAAACTAACTTTCTTAAAATACACTTCCTTGATCCTCTGATTAATTAATGATTTCCAGATACTTTTTGTCTTCATCTTTTCACTCATGTTGTGACTAAAGTTCATTTGGATCAAGCAATTCTTTATAGGTCAATTCATAATCAACATTGGCTTTTTCACCATTGTGGGAATGTTGGATTCACTTATTTTGCTTGTTAGCAAGCAAAGAAACTGCGTGCAGGTGAACAAAGGAAAACAACTTCAACATTTTTAGACTTGTGAAAAGAGAAACTAAAGTCTTCTAAGCAGCTCTGCTGGGAATCTGCAAAAGCAGCAGGCACGTTTAAGCTTCTGCAGGTCTGCTAAGGCCCGTCAGAATAAGTGGCAAATAAGACTGCGTGAGTTTGTGGACACCACTGCAAGGTCACAAAGAGTCAAACAACATGATGATTA